CCCATGGGCCTGCTATTTAGGCGAGAGCCCCGTTGTTCTGTAAAGAGATGCATCTCATTTTCCTAAACAGATGCAAAAGCACAATACGGGCTGGACCATAAAATGTTAAAAGGTATCCCAGGAGAGCTTCGCTTTTAAAGGGAACGGCTCCCTGTGGCAGCAGCAGGAGCAAGCAAACACTTTTGCCTTGAGCCATAAATAGGGTACAAACACACAAATCACGAGGCCCCATTTCCCTGGGGCCCAGGAAGAGAAACCAGAAGCTAGACCGATGTCGAAATATTTGGACACCAGTCACATGGTTCCAACTTTCTCTAGGTTTAGCTGTCCCCTCAGAAGGCCTTCCGGTCCGCGTCCACTAGCGCTGCAGTGGCAGACCGTCCTCTTGCGGTCCGAGAACCGAAGGCTGAGGCAGCAACAGCAGAGACGCGCGAGAAGAAGTAGATTACTGGAACTCTCTGCAGGAAGGCGAGGGAGAAGAGGAAAAGGAGGATGGGAAGATACCACCACCACCACCGAGACCGGGAGGAGCGAGCAGGTCCAGGTACTCCTTCCAGGAAATCCAGGCCGGGCTGGACAGCATGCGTCTGGATGCTGATTGCGATCGCTCCTTCAGTTCGGGGGTCGTCCTCCTCTTGTCGACCTCGGTCTCTTCGTCAATCAATATCAGCTTGCCGCTTGACATCAAATCAAAGAGGGCTGCATTGCACTTAGTGATAACGTCTTTGGTCAACGGGTCGACCGGCATTCTGCCGTGAGGGATCCATCGCTTCCGCCCCTTGGCCCCCTCCATGGCCTCATAGAGAATAGCCAAGTCCAGGGAGGTGCGTCCATCTCGGGCCGACGCATTACCCTCTTTGAGCATGGTGTCGTAGGTGGACTTCGCGTCCACGACGTGGACTTGTTGTTCTCTAGAGCCCAACCTACAGTCACAACGCAGCACAGTGGTGAATGGTCTAGAGGCTCGGACACAATCTGGGAGGTCAACATCTCTGAAGACCACGTCTCGGCACAGTACTTGAGATATTCAACTTCAGCAACAGCGGCCGTAAGTGCCTGTGTCTCACCCGCAAGGGTGAAGGGCGCCTTCCGGCGGAGCTCGCTACTTCTCCAGCCGAGAAGCGACGCCTTCACGGCCTTGTTGTCCAAAGCGGACTTGTCCACCGCAAGGACCATCCAGGCCCCTTGTGTTGGGTCTGCCGGCAGACCGTTGTCGTCGGCGAGGTCCACGGCCGACCCGGCACCTCCAGCGTCGGAGAAAGACGCGAACGACATCCTGTCGGGGTCGAGCTTCCAGGCGATCAGCCCCCTCGACGCCGTAGACCGAAGGTGCTCGACCAGTTTATTGGCCACCGCCACATCTGACGCAGCGGGCCCCTTGAGCCGATCTCGACTGGCCAGGACACCGGCGACGCCGGCGGCCTCCGGACGAGATTCTCGGCCGACCTAGTTGAACTAATGAACCAGGGAGCGAAGCGCCCGTGCGTCAAGAGGGGCGTCTGTCCTGGATAGGCGTCCTCGGGCAAGGGCCAGTGGCCAAATCTCCTCTAGGATGTCCTTCTCTTGGCCCACGGTCGTCTTCCCGGGGCCTAGCCACGGCCTGCGCGAATTTTGGGGGATACTGGCCCGCTTTCGCGGTGATCGAACCCCCCGCGAGCACCGCGCGCCCGCGATCCCTGGCGCGCAGACAACCGTCCAGGAGGTGGCGGAGGCGAGGGCGGTTGGACGAAACCCCTGTCGGCTTCTTGTTAAGACCCCATTGTCAACCTGCATGCCGACATGGCATACACACGCCCACTCGAGCCCCACTCACCCCGGGGAGATCCCAAACACACCTGGTGACGGATGCCTCCCATGACGAGGCAGAAAGGGGACGTTCAAATGTGAAGACGCACCCGTGCTGCACCTGATAGCTGGCGTTCTCCATGCATAGCCCCTCGGCCATTAATCGGCCCCACTCCTCGACCCCCACGCGATCGCGATTCGCCCGAGTTTTCGCCGAGAACGCGCGGCGCTCCGAGCGCAGCCAGATCATGTCCGGTCGATCGGTCTTGATCGCTCGCCTGAGCCTCCTGGCGTCAAATTTCCGAGACGAGTCCCAGCCGCACCGGATATCCCAGGACGACTCTCGTCCGAGGGCCCCCCCCTGCTTCTCCACCTCGGGGGCGATGCGGGGAGGGAAAAAGACCTCCATGAACGCCACCGAAGCTCTCGAGGGCGATGGCCCGGACACCGCGGCCAGGGGCCCCCGCGAGGTCCCGGGCGCTCTAGCCGCCGCCTCGTCGAGAGCCTTCCGAATCCGAATCCCACAAGAACTTCGCGGTCGTCGTTTCACGGGTCTCCGTCGAACCACTCGGGTCCGACGTCACAGCAACAAGAGGGGGAACCCCTGGAAGCCGAGGGGAGGGTCTCCGAACTTTTATCTTCAAAAGCAATTTGCACTTGCACGCCGCGAAGCTGCGCGCAGAGGTCGATCGCCACTCGCGCCGGGCCCTTCGGTCCAGCAGAGGCGGCGCCGGAGGCGAAGAAGGCGGTGTCGCTGCACCTATACCTCGTTGATCTCGCTGATATCCGAGAGGATCTCCCAGCTGATGTCCGCCGCCGTCGTGGTGAGCGGGTCCATCGTGGTCGCGGTCGTCGGGCCCTCGCTCTCGTGGATGAGCTCCTGGATGAGCTCCGTTGAGCTGATTGAGGCTGCGGCTGCTGAGGCTGCTCCTGGATGAGCTGGTTGACTCCTGCATGGTTCGCTACGTGCGCGAGGGCCATGACTGCAGCGCCGATCTGAACGACCATCTGGGCCAGTTGGCCCATTGACTGCTCCATGTTCAGAACTGAGGCGGACAGCCCCGCCAGCTGCTCCGTGACGTGGTCCAGCGTGTCCCCCACGGGCTCCAGCGACTCGAGAATGCGTCGGATCCTCGTCAGCCCCTGACCAGGGGCCCCTCCTCGATATGGTTCCCGTGGTTCTGGCCCTGGGCGCTGTTGGCGTAGCGCGACATCTCTTCGATGACCTCCTTCGCCCGGCCGAGTGCCTGAAATCCTTCGGGCGCCTGGTAGAGCTGCCACTGCAGTGAAGCCAAGTAGTTGTTGAGGACGTTCACTGTTTGCAATGCTGCTGTGCCCGCCCTGAACCCAGGATTCTCCTGGGGCATCTCCACCGATCCGCTGCGGCTGCCGCCCTCCTGGCTGCGCCCGCCGCCGACTCTGGTCGCTCGCCCCGAGCTCGGTTGCCCTCGCCGTTCCGCGCGAAGTACACCGGCTTCCCGCAAGGCCGGCATTTCATGCCCGACCCGCACTGGTTCCCGTAGCCCACGAGCTGGTCCGATGGGCGGCGGCACTCGAGGTGCCGGCTTCGCGGGCGGCGGCTTCGACGCTGCCGGCCTGGTCAGCGCCCCCGTCGGCTTGGACCTCGGGCCTGGCTTCTGGCCGGGCCTCGCTGGCGGAGCGGGCCCGGCTGGTGGAGCGGCCGCCCCTGCTAAGCTCTGGTCGATCTCGGACCGCGGCGCAACCTGGTCTTCGTCGCGGCCGCGGTTCTGTCCTGGAGGCACTCCTGGATCGGGCGAACCTCGGCAGCCTGGTAGTTGAGAGGAGGCTGCTCGAGGCGCCCCCTGGAACTGCTGCGTCGGGCCGCACCCCATCGGGTTCTGCCGGCCCGCAGCCGCCGCAGCCGCCGCCCACAGCGCTGGCCGCTGGGCGCTGGACCCCGCGGCGGGGTTCGGCCCCTCTGGAGGCCTCTTGGGAGGCGGCGGCGCATTCAGCAAGACCTGCTGGCACTCGGTCGAGAGGATCGGCGTGCCGTCCGCCATGCGGACCACGACCGCTATCCTCGGCACTCCGGATGGCCCCGCTGCCGCCTGCGCGTCCGCCCACGAAATGAGCTGAGGCGGCATCTGGCTCGGCAGTCCGGCCTGAAGCGCTCCGTCTGACCCTGCAGGCGCTGTCGTCGTAGGAGGGGTAGGCGGTCGACTGGGGTCGCCGCGGCCTGCGCCTGGGCCTGGGGCATGTGGTGGCACGGGTCGTAGTTCCACTGGCGCACTGCCGTCTCGGTCATGTTCTCGTCCGCGACTGACTCCGAGCCGTTCGGCTCGGTCTCCGCCCTGCCGAGGAATGCCAAGACGCCCCCCCTGGCCCTGCCCCCCGGCTTGCGCCTCGGGGCCGCCGCCGCCAGAGGCGCCGTCGCCAGGGGGGTCGTCATGGAAACGCACCTCATGGCTGAGGTGCTGGACTCTGCGAAGATGGAGCTGCGAGCTCGCCTGAGAGCTCGCACGGTGCATGAAGCTAAAGCTTGCGCCGAAAGCCGCCGCGCACATCAGGGCTAGGGCGCCCCCCCGCATCTCTTCTTCGAAGGGTTCGAGAACTCCGGTATTGCTGCGGCGGGGCCCCCACGTGTTGACCTTAGCTTGACAGAAAGACCCCGAGCCCGGCACCTGGTCGAGGCGGGCCCGCTGAGCCCAAGACATGAGGACGAGGTGGGAGAGGGAAAGGATGAGCGACGCGGCCACGTAGGATAACCGAACCCACCCAAGACGACTCCTGAAGGTCCTCGACCGAGACAAACTCTTCCGCCCCCTTGGCCGAGTTCGAATCGAGAGGAGGATAGGGGGGGCCATATACTTCGCAATCGTTCCATCGGCGAACATATTGGGAGGCTTCTCGCCCCCGAGAGAAAACGGGTCCTTCGACAGAAAGGGATAGCGCCGCAAAGCTGCTTCTGGCACCATCGGCTGATCCTCAAGAGGCCGAACGATCTCCACCGCGCGGTGGCCCAAGCCAAGGCGCACCATGTCTACTGTACGCTGCATCGCCCCCGGCCTCAGCTTGTTCCGATGCAAATCTATCGTTTTCGGAAGATAGTCGAGAAAATTGACGCTGGGGATATGGGGAACGGCTTCTCCCAGAACTGTAGCGTCGATGACGCCGGGGGCCCCGTCCGAGGCAGAGAGGGAACAAGATGGCACTCACTACCTTCGCTGCACCCGCAACTCCGCGGGCGCCGCGGACGCGGGTGCGATGCTCCTCAGGAATCTCAACATATCGAAGCCCATACTCCGCGAGTGCCTCTGCCTCGAGATATCTGTTCAGGGCGTCGACTCCCGCCAGGTCGGTGCCGGCCCCGGGGTCGACCAGACCCTGATTGGCTCTCGCCGCCAAGTAGATCGAAGAGCCCGCGATCTCGCCCTCGGCGTCACGCCAGGCGGGCAAGCTGCTGAGGTCCGCCTCGCTCGTCACGATGCCCTCGAACATGCAGGCGGACAGCTTCCCGTCGGACTGGGGGGCCGCCTTCTGTGCCGCGGCCTTCTTCGCCCCGCCGACGTTCGGACACTCCCGGCCCCGGCGCCCCTTCTCGCGGCAGAGCTTGCACCTCGCCACCTTCTTCAGCTGTTCGCGCGAAAGGGACTTCTTCCTCCCAGGAGGCGGTCGCCGCCCAGCTCCTCGATCTCCTCGATCGCGACGGTCAGCCCCGCGACCGTCCGGCTTCGGAGGGGGAAGACCTCCTCCGCGGTTGCGGGCACCGAAGTACTCGCCGTCCCGGCGGGCCGCCCTCTTGATGTCCTTGTTCTGCTTCCAAGTCCAGTTGTTGGTCAGCTCGGCCATCGCGGCCTCCAGCTGGTCTTCGTCGACGTCGAGGTCCTCGATCTCGGCGAGCAGTATCTCGGCCTCGTACTCGCCCAGCTCATCAGTCTCGTAGTCGTCGCCCTCCTCGGCGTAGTCGTCGTCGCCCTCGACTGCGTAGTTACCTTCCTCAGCGCTAGAGTCGCTGCCCACTGCCGCACACTCAGAAGCACTGGCCGCCGGCGCCGCGAGCATCGCGATCCCTGGCCCGGCCGGCCGGGGAGCAGGCGCTCGGAGCTGCCGGCGTCCATCTGCCTGAGAGCCCACACTACGATGTCGTAGTCGAGCTTCCCCTGCGTCAGCACGCGCAGATTCTGCACCCCCTGCGCGGAGAGGTTGGCCCCGTCCTCGAGGAGGTATCCCTTCAGCTTTGGAGACATCCAGAGATCCAGGCCCTCGGCCTCGAGTAGCTGAGCCTCTCGCCGGCTGACGTACTGCGCGAGCGACTCCTTGGCGTCTCTCGTCGTCTCGTACATCGCCTTCCTACCGGCATACCTGAGCTCGTCGCCCTCGCGAACGCCAGTCATCATGTCCATGCGAACCAACAGCGCCTCGAGCCACTTGTCTGAAGCCAGCTGCGACTCCAGGATGTCTTCGAACTTCACCTGCATCGTCCAGTCGAACAGCCTCATGAACTTCTCTGAGCGTCTCCACATAGCGACGTCAGCATTCTGCTTCCATCTGACTAGCGCCCGCCGCCACTGGCGGTAGTGGTTCCAGCCAGGCCATGCGGACGGGTCGGTATAATCACCTCGTCCGCCGCAGGCCCAGTCTCGACACCACCGGCTGCTCGACCACTGGTCGCTGCGCCAGTCCACGTCGCCGTCCTTGCCGTCCTTGCCGTCCTTCTCGCCTGCAGCGTCCCACCAGCTACCTCCTGCTGCTGCCGCACTGTCCTGCCACTGGTGGTCGGCTGCTCGTCCGCGTCCAGTCGTCCACGGGTCAACATGGACCCATGGGTATGCTGCCTCCGCGGCTGCCGGTGCTGCGGCAGCCGGTGCTGTGGAACCGAGCCTCGAGAGTATCTGCCTCACTGCACTCTCGATGGCCGCGGTCAGCACCTCCTGCGGAATGCCGGCCGCTTGGGCCGTTGGCTCTGGCGGCGCCGTCTGCCCTGCTGTCTCGCCCGCTGGGGCGTCTTTCGCGTCGCCATGCCGCTGAACTGTGCGTCCCCTTCCCCGTCGGCCGGCATCTGCCGTGGATCCCACGCCGCCCGTCGGTGCGAGCGCAGCCTCGGGCAAGAGCTCGAGAACTGGGGTCGGTCGACCCCTTCAGGCCGACTCGCACCGACCCATTGACCCCCGCCCCGGGACCGCGCTCTGCTACCAACTGTGGCAGCAGCAGGAGCAAGCAGTCAGTTTTGCCTTGAGCCATAAATAGGGTACAGAGACAAATCACGAGGCCCTGGGGCCCAGCAAGTGAAACCAGAAGCTAAGCCGATGTCGAAATATTTGGACACCAATCGCAGCCCTTCAATTTGATGAACCGCCCTCCGACCGCGCAACTGCTACGTATATGCAAACTTCTGGTTGTTAGATTTTGGTCTGGAAACTGCTCACCGGGAACACAATGTTCAGAAGGAACCGACCTACATCCGTGTAACTAGGGCGCGTCGTCAAGCTTGTGGCAAGAGGTTTCAAGAAAACACAAGCAAAGAGACAACGTTGGAAACGTACCGGCCTGCATCCGCGTAACAGCTTTTAAGACGAGTGTGCGCAGCACGAAACCATAGCCCAACGTTTCCAAAGGTACGAGCCTCGATCAGCTGAACCCTTTCAGGCGAATGTGCGCGGCGCTATGGCGAGAGCCACGTTATGAAAATTACCCGCCTGGCATCCGTGTCACAGAATTGACAATTGTACAACGAATCTGCACGGTGGTAAGGCGAGGACTCCATGTTCAAAAAGAACGACATCCACCCGTGTAAATATTGCAAACATGTACAACGAATTCCCTCCCTCCCTCCCTCCCCTTCCTCCCCTCCCCTCCCAGCCCCTCTTCCCTCCCTCTCTCTCCCCCCCCCCTTCCCCTCTCCCCCTCCCTTACTCCCTACCCCTCGCTGCCCCCCCCCCCCCTCCCCCGCCCGTTTCGCATGTCCGCGGCGTGCCCTTCTTTTTCCCCCCCTGGCCCCGCGGGCGACCGGGAAGGGGCCGCCACGACGCACTTCGACCGCCCCTCGGCGCTGGAGGGGAGAAGGACGAGGAAGAGGAAGAACATTGGAAAAGAGAAAGGAGGGGGAAGAGAAAGCGGATACCCAGACCTCCTCGCGTCGTGGAAAAATCACGACGGGAGGCCTCTTCGCTGTGATCGGCCTCGGGGGGCCCCCACCGGGCCCCGGGAGCGTCAGAGAACGACTCGGAGTGCAAAACCGGTCCCAGGGAAGGGGTCCCGACCTCTGGGGGTCGATGTTGCGGAAAAATCGCGACGTCGGGGGTCTGGGCTGGCACGAACGATGCGGCAGCGATGGCGCTTGCCGGAGCGAGCTTCCCGGCGCGTCCGCCCAGGGGGTCCTGGCTGGGGGTGCGGGTAGCTCTTGGCCCCCGAAGGACCCCATGGAAACACCCCCCGCAGCCAGGACCCCGCGGATCACCGTGTCGGAAGTGGGTGTCCTGGCTGGGGGGTGGGGTTGGGTTGCGCTGTCCCCACACGGCCACCATCGCGCCGCCGCCGCCGCCGCCTGCGCCGCCGCGCCCACGCCGCCATGGGCGCCGCCGAGGGCGGGCCACGGGCGGGGCGACGGCGGGCGCAGGAGGCGGCGCCGCCAGGACGGCGACAGCAGAGCGAAGGAGACAGAGGGAGGAGGAGGAGGAGGAGGAGGAGGAGGAGGAGGAGGAAGAGAGGACCAGTGCAAACCCAAGCCTCATCAACGATATTGCCATCAATCTTCCCTCCGAGTTCCGCCTGCACAGGCCCCTGAGTATCAGGATCCAGTCTCACTGAAAGAAATGCCCCGCTGGAAGACAATCGCTTGAAACTCCTGAACTGCGGCTGAACACCCTTCCTGCAACGCCGCGAATCACCGTCACTGTTGCGTTTTGACGACGCTGAGTCGTGTCAGAACACCAGTCCTGGGATTTCAACACCGCGAATCAACGTGGCTGTTGCGCCCTGACAATCCAACATCGTGCCAAAACACCGTTTCTGGCACGCTAGCCATGGTAATCCTTGCTATAAGTTCTGAACATGCACGCGGCGCTAGGGAGAGGGTCACACTTTGAAAAGGAGCCGCCCTCCATCCGTGAAGCTCTTGCGTTTGTTTTACGCGTGCGCGCGGCGCCGAAAGAAGAACCGCATGCTGAAAACCATTCACCCTCCATCCGTAAGGCTCTCGCAGCTGTTCAACACGAATGCGTGCGGCGCTGAGTCGGGAGCCGCATTTTGAAAACGGCCCGCCCTCCATCCATGAACTCGTGCATTTCTTGAAACAAATGCGCGCGGCGCTAAGGCGAGAGCCACGCGTTGCTTCATTCAAAAAAAAATGCCCCCCACCCCAACCCACCCCAAGCACCACCAGTGGACTGGGAATCAAGCCCTTCGAAGACTTCAGAGAGACCTCCGGTGCCCAGGTCCCAAGCACCAGGCTGAGAAGGTGAGAGCGCGAGAGAGGGAGAAAGAGAGAGAGAGAGAGAAGGGGGAGAGAGAGAGAGAGAGGGAGGGAAGAGGGAAAGAGAGAGAGCGAGGGAAAGGGGGAGAGCGCGGAGCGGAGAGAAGGGAGGGGAAACGAAATCATCAAAAACGCAGGGAAGAGGGAGGGAGGCAAACAGGGAGGAAGGAAAAAGAAGGAACACAGCTCGGTCCCGTCCGCCACGCTGCAAACTCCACGAGTTGGCCCAGCACGCATGAGCGCACAGCGACGACGCCACGAATGTCAAACTTAGAATATGTTGGGTGGCCAAGCGGTATGCTCACCAGACGCTTCCTGCTGCTTTGTCGTGCCAGTAATGCTTGCTGGGCTGGGCTGTGCGGACGGCCCTGCTCGACGCACCGCGGAATCGCTGCCACTGCGCTGAAGAGGTGTGATACCACCAGTTGAGGCGGCAGTGTTGCGGCAGGAGGGGGGGAGAGCAGGAGGGCGAGGAGGGCGAGGAGGAGGGCGAGGAGGACGGCGAGGAGGAGCGCGGAGGAGGAGGAGGGCGAGGAGGAGGGCGAGAAGGGCGAGGAGGATGGCGAGGATGGCGAGGAGGAGCGCGGAGGAGGAGAGCGAGGAGGGAGAGGAGGATGGCGAGGAGGGCGAGGGAGAGGGCGAGGAGGACGGCGAGGAGGAGGGCGAGGAGGAGGAGGACGAGGGCGAGCAGGGCGAGCAGGGCGAGACGGAGGCGCTCGTCACGCCGCCGCCCGGCCGCTCTCGTCGCTAGAGGCGCTCAGGTCGCTGCCTTCCTCGACCTCCGCGGGCTCCCAGCGCCGCTGCCGCGCTGCGCCGTCGCCGCCATCGCCGCAGTGGACACGGTCGCGGTCGTCGTCGTCGTCGTCGTCGTCGTCGTCGTCGTCGTCGTCGTCGTCGTCGTCGTCGTCGTCGTCGTCAACGTCGTTGTCGTCGTCTTCGTCGTCGTCGTCATCGTCAACGTCGTCGTCTTCGTCGTCGTCATGGTCAACGTCGTTGTCGTCGTCGTCGTCGACGTCATCGTCAACGTCGTCGTCGTCATCGTCGTCGTCGTCGTCGGCGTCGGCGTCGGCGTCGGCGTCAGCGTCGGCAACGGCATTGGCGTCGGCGTCGGTGTCGGCGTCGGCGTCGGCTTCGGCGTCGGCGTCCGCGTCCGCGCGTCCGCGTCGTTGTCGTCGTCGTCGCCGCTGCCGCCGCCGCTATCGTCGTCGCTACCTCCTCATTATCCTCTTCCTCCTGCTCATCCATCTCATCATGCTCCCTGCTCCTGCAACTCCTGCTACACCTGCTGCTGATCGTTATCCTCCTCCTGCTCATCCTCTTCCTTACGACCTAATCCAACATCCTAGTTTCTGCCCTCGATCTCCCGAGGTGGACGCTGCTTTTGGTGACGTCATGACCTGTGTAGAGTAAAGCGCAGGGAGGCAGGAAGGGATGATGGGAGGCCACGAAAATGAGGGAGAAGGAAAAGGGGGATGAAGCGGACAACGACGAATGATTGTTTTCAGCAGATTCGACAGCTGGAAGTTCCGGTTCCAAGAGGGACGGAAGAAAACGGGACGAAAAACAGGCCAGGATAGACATTGGCAGTGAGGGGTCAGGGGACTCGCTTTGAGCGAACTTGGGGTCTGAGCAGAAGGAGGTGGAACTTGGGATCCGAGGAGCAGGAGGAAGAGGAGGAGGAGGGTGAGGACGACATGAGCACCTGAAGCCCAAGCCCACGCACGACGGAGAAACGCACACAGACACACACATACACACACACACACACACACACGCGCACACACACACACACACACACACACACACACGCCCAGTCTGTGTTTCGAGCAGCGTCCCACAGTATCCTCCAGAGACAGGAAGCCCGGCCACGGCGAACCAACGATTGCGCCCGCAGAGCATGAAAGGGAGCGAGGGAGGCAGGCGGGCCGGAGGATGATAGAGGTCATCCTCGTCCCCGGGGCCATGAAGGGATCTGGAATTTCAGCCCGGGAGACATACTTTCAGGAGTATGCTTTGATGTGCCAGCTGTATGACTACACATGTATGTGTGTTTATATATGTATACATATTAAACATATATAAACACACATATATATACATATATATATATATATATATTTATGGTTGCCCCCCCTGAGATCATACATTAAAACTTGAATCGTAGTCACGTTCATCATCATCTTACTCATATTCCCCTTCTCTTCTTCCGTCCTCCCCTCATCTGCTTCCCACTGTTCGTCCACATACCCCTCCTACCATCTACTTGGATAGACCACAAAGGGACTCGATTGGAAAGCCTCACAACAGGAATCCTTTGGAAAGCACCACACAGGGATTCGATTGGAAAGCCTCACAACAGGAATCCTTTGGAAAGCGCCACAAAGGGATTATATGGGAAAGCCTCACAACAGGAATATGTTGTAAAGCGCCACAGAAGGATTCGATTGGAAAGCGTCACAAGAGGAATCCTTTGGAAACCACCACAAATGGATTCTATTGGAAAGCCTCACAAAAGGAATCCTTTGGAAAGGACCACAAAGGGATTCTATTGTATTGACAAGCGCCACAAGAAGATTCGATTGGAAAGCCTCGCACCCCCCCCCACAGCACCCACAAACGACGGACTGGGGAGGGCATCCTCCTCAGAACCCCCTCTACCGCTCTCCCGCTCTCCCGCTCTCCCTCTCCCGCTGTCCCAAAAGGATGAGTATGATGATGGTGATGATGATGAGGATGGCGATGATGATTATTATATTGAAGTTCGCTTAGAACGTCATCCAAATTGAATAGGAATCCTCCCGATCGGGGATCACTTCCATGCCCCATTGAAACCGCATCCGATTCCTATTCAAATTCAATAGGAACATCCTCTGGATCTGGGATCTGCTCCGCTTCCATTGAAACCATATGAGATTCCAATTCGAATTCAATCGGAATCCTCTTGATATGGCATCTGCTCCCTTCCTATTGAAATTCTGCTTGTTCCATTCTTGTAATGTGTATTTGGGAGGGAGAGAAACATACAGAGCTAACGAGATAGAGAAAGAGAGAGAGAGAGAGAGTCGGGGAGAGTTCCGCTGTCCCCTTCCCTTCCTCCTCCTCCTCCTCCTCCTCCTCTTCCTCCTCTTCCTCCTCCTCCTCCTCCGCCTCTTTTACTTGGAAACGCAGGGAGAAAGAGAGAGAGAGAGAGAGACGGTGTGAGAGAGAGGGGGAGAAAAAAAAGGATACAGAGAGAGAGAGGGAGGGGCGAGGGGGGTGCGAGTGAATTCCTCCCTGTTCCTCCTATTCCTCTCTCCTCCTCCGCCTCTTCCTCCTTCCCTGCACATATGCGTGAATGGCAAAAGGGAAAAAAGAAGAGAGAGAGAGAGAAGAAGAGAGAGAGAGAGAGAAACAAAAAAACGACTACAAAGAGTTCCAATTGAAATCTGAATAGAATCCTATGCACATCCATTAAGTAGGAATCCTCTGGATCTGGGGTTTGCTCCGTTCCTGTTGAAATCCTGTTAAGGTCCTATTCAAATTCGATCGGGATCCTTTGGATATGGGAAATGCTCCGAGAAGTTTGCTTAGAACTCATCCAAATTCAATAGGAATCCGGTGGATCTGGGACCACTTCCATTTCCCATTGGAATCGTATCCGAATCCTCGTCAAAATCAATCGGAATCCTCTGGGTATGGGAGCTGTTCCGTTTCCATTGAAAACAAATGAGATTCCGATTCGGATTATATTGGGGTTCTCTTGATATGGCAGCTGCATACTTTTTCATATTGAAGTCCTGCTCTTCCTCTTACTGTACATATGTTCTTTGGGAAAAGAACAGAGAGAGAGAAAGAGAAAGAGGGAGAGAGCCGCAGAGAGAGAGAGAGAGAAAGGGAGATGGATTTCAGGGTGAGAGTTTGTTCCTCTTTCCTCCTCCAATTCCGCTCTCCTCCTCCTCCTCCTCATGTTCCTCCTCCTCCTTCTCTTCCTCTTCCTCCTCCTCCTCCTCCTGCACATCTGCGTGACAGACGAAAAGGGAGAGAGAGAGAGAGAGAGAGAGAGTCTCATTCCCTTTTCCTCCTCCCCCTCCTCCTCCTCCTGCAGGAGCGTGGCAGCCTTACACAATGAACTCCCTTCCAAAAGGGGCTGCTTTCTGAAGGAAGCCCGATGAAAACACAAATAATATTGATATGTTTGAAAGTTGTGGTACGGAAACAATGTGACAACACAGATGTTACTGATATGTGTGAAGGTGCTGGTAAGGAAACCCTGTGAACACACAGATGTTACTGATATGTCAAGTGTTCTGGATCGGAGGAGGAGAAGGAGACAGCAGGATCACGCAGGCGGAGAATCAGGAACCCGATCGGAAGGATATTGAGGAGGGGAAGGAGGAGGACGGGGAGGAGGGGGAGGAGGAGGAGAAAGCAGGAGCACGCAGGAGCATGAGCAGGAACCTGCAGGGAGGAGGGAGGATGATGATGAGGAACTGCGTAGGCAAACCCCGTGAGAAAAACAGGTATTACTGATATTGTTGAAGGCTTCGGTAAGGAAACCAAGCGAAAATACATATATTACTTATATGTTTGGAGGTGCTGGTGGGGAATCCCTGTGACAACACAACCATTACTGATAGTTTGAACTTCTCTAACGAGGTGCAAACGAGGTGTGGGGGGCAGGAGGAGAAGGGGCGCCAGCCTCCAGAAAACCGCAGACTATAAGTAATATATGTGTTTTTACAAGTTCTTCTTGCGAAAACCGTTCAAACTATCAAGCACATCTGTGTTTTCACCCGGTTTCTTTACCAACATTTTCACGCATATCAGTAATGCGAATGTTTTCGCAGGGCTGCCTTACGAAAGCTTCCAAACATATCGGGGATCTGTGTGCTTTCACGGGTTTCCCGTCTGGCGCATTGTCCCTGGGGGGCGGTGAGGAGGAGAAAGGGCGCCCGTCAGCAGAAAACCACAAAGTATCAGTAATATCTGTGTTTTCACATGGTCTCCCTACCAAAGCTTGCAAACATATCAATAATATCTGTGTTTTCACACGGTTTCCTGACCAAAACCTTAAAACTATTAGTAATATCTGTGTTTCCATATGGCTTCCTCCAGAAAGCAACCCCTTTCGTAAGGCTTTCCGAAACGAGATCCCTTTGCACGGCTGCAGCGCCCCTGCAGGAGGAGGAGGACGAGGGGGAGGAGGAAAAGGGGATGAGAGAGCGAGAAAGGGAGGGATAGAAGGAGAACACGGAGAAGAAGCGATCGAGGATGAGGAGGAAAATGTATGATCTCAGGGGGGGCTATATATATATATATATATATATATATATATATAGCCCGTCTCCACTTCCGAGGGCCATCCAAACACGCCGAGACGACCGGAAGGAGCGGGGCTGCGGAAAGGGCGCAGCCCATCAGAGTAAGGCGCATAAGATCTTTCTCGACGCTATGCGTGGACGGGAGCCAGGCACAAGTAACGGCCAGAGGGCGCCGCGGCGACAGGCGCAGAATACACCGAGATCCCCCAAAATCCCAAACAGGGAAGGGACTGGCGGACAGGCCGCTGATAAAATCAAACACTGAGCAGACTCTCTTACATTACCGAGAACTGAGAACACACTGAGCCCAGGCTACGGCGATAGAACAATGCTACGGCGATAGGCATGAACTGGGGCAACCACCGAGAGTTCGAAAAAAATCAGACAAGCGGGCACAAAACTTTGCTGAATAGGCCGCGGCCAAAGCGGTGCGATGGGCCCCGCGCTCGTGGCCGCTGGGAATGATGTGAGGGCGCTGGCTCT